TTTTTTTTTAAGGACAACTATTCTCACAAAAGGAGCCTGAGAAAGCCTACTGCCCATCCTCAAGTAGTTTCTTCTGTACTATTTTTCTTTCCTAGTAAGATAATGCAACTAAACCAGGTGGTACTCCCTTCTCCTTTATTGGCTTATCATTTGGTTAATTTTGTCAGTGTTTATTTTGATGTTCATCATTACTTAAAAACAATTATATGATAGTATTCTAATTTAAAACCGTGAAAAACTTCCCCCATATTTTTAATAACCTGAGAGAAAATGTTTCTTGAACTTGATGGAAAATTCATTTTTCCTAATGTAAGTATAGAAAAATAATCTCCAAAGTCAATTATTGAATTAACGGATGCCATAAGTAAAAAGCAGCAGAAGTTTTAAATGCATGTAAGTATTTAGGAAATGATAACAGATTTCAAATAAATGGGAAGATGAATAAGGGATACAGGGATAATTGGTTAGCTATATGAAAAAAGAATTGTTCTATCTTACATCATATAATGAAAATAAAATTCAGAGGAGACATAAAAATTGGAATAAAATATAGGTGAATATAAATATCATTCTGGGAATAGGAAGGACTTTCTAAGCACAGTTTCAAATGAAGCAACCGTAGGAAAGGTATGAAAGTTTTGACTAGACTAAAAAAAATTCAGTATACACATCAAAACAAAAGGGGGGCCCTGGCCAGCCTGGCCTTGACCTATGAACCTGGAGGTCATGGTTGGATTCTGATGAGGGCACATGCGGGGGTTTCGGGCTCCATCCTCACTGTGGGGTGTGCAGGAGGCAGCCAATCAATGATTCTCTCTCATCATTGATGTTTCTATCTTCTCTCTCCCTCTCCCTTCCTCTCTGAAATCAGTAAAAAATATATTGTAAAAAAAGGTGAGGAAGAAAATGAATTGGGAACAATATTTGTAAATTAAAAATATTTGTAAAATACTTACCTTATACAAAAGGCTAATAGCCTAATGTTTAGAGAGCTTGTTTCTTTTCAGAAGAAAATAAAAGAAAATGGATAATGAACAGAGGCAAACTGTATCAGCTAGGCAAACTGTAACAAAATACCACAAACTGGATGGCTTAACAGAAATTTATTTTCTCACAGTTCTGGAGGTTAGAAGTCTAAGATGAGGTGTTGACAGGTTTGGTGTCTTCTGAAGCCTTGATTTTCAGAAAACCTCACATGCCCTTTCCAATGTACACAAGCATTCCTGATGTTTCTTCCTCTTCTTATAAGACCACCAGTTCTCTTAGATCAGAGCTCCACCCTAATGACCTCACTTAACTTTAATTTCCTCTTGAAAGTTTCCTATTCCTAAATATAGTCACATTGGGGGTCAGCATTTCAACATATGAATTTGAGAGGGAGGAGCACAATTCAGTCCATAATACAAACCAATGAAGCAGAAATACTAATCCTCCTATATAATAAAGAAGTCATATGCAAATTGACCATCACACCTTCCCACAAGATGGCCACCATGGCCGGCAGGGGAGGGCAGCTGTGGGCAATCAGGCCAGCAGGGGAGGGCAGTTGCAGGTGAACAGACCAGCAGGGGAGGGCAGTTGTGGGTGAACAAACCAGCAGGGGAGGGAGGGCAGTTGGAGGGACCAGGCCGGCAGGGGAGGGCAGTTGGGGGGGACTGGGCTGGCAGGCGAGGGCAATTGGAGGTGATAGGACCAGCAGGGGAGTGGTTTTGGGGTGATCAGGATGGCAGGCAGAAGCGGTTAGGGGCAATCAGGCAGGCAGGCGAGCGGTTGGGAGTCAGCAATCCTGGATTGTGAGAGGGATCGGACCTAAACCGGCAGTCGGACATCCCTTGAAGGGTCCCAGATTGGAGAGGGTGCAGGCTGGACTGCGAGACACCTCCCACCCCAGTGCACGAATTTTGTGCACCAGGCCTCTAGTTATCTATAACATGGGGGAAAAGTTTATCCTCACCAGTAGTTAAAGAATGCAGACTTAACTATAATAAAATATCCTTTTCCTGAATTATCATTTCAGCAAACAATAAATGGTGGACTGGAGATATAAGTAGATGAAAGTAATTTTGAAAGAAGAATGGAATAGTTTGTGGTGATAAAACTATATAGCAGATAAAAGAGAAGGATAACTGAGAGAATGAATGTTCAGTTCATAGTGACCTAGTTTTCTGTCAAAGTCAAGGCTGATCCTTGAGCAACCATTTTGAGTAAGATGACTCTATTTTACACAATTTGGACCCAAAATTGGAATCTGAGTTAAGCTGGGTCAGTTAGAGGGGTTTTTTTTGTTTGTTTGTTTTGTTTTTAGAATGGAAATCCATATTTACACCAAATTTTAAAAATTCAGTCTCTCTCATGTCGGATCATGGCATACCTTTATATATACATATAAAACCTTGAGAGATAGCCGTAGCCGGTTTGGCTTAGTGGATAGAGCGTTGGCCTGAAGACTGAAGGGTCCAGGGTTCAATTCCAGTGAAGGGCACATGCCTGGGTTGCGGGCTGGATCCCCAGTAGGGGGTGTGCAAGAGGTAACCAGTCAATGGTTTTCTCTCATCATTGATGTTTCTATCTATCTCCTTCTCCCTTCCTCTCTGAATATAAAAATATATGAAAAACAACAACCTTGAGAGAGATAGTCAGTTTTCCACAAACCATTTCTAGTAGAGTAGCAGAAAATGTCAGAAAATGAGAGAGAGAGAGAGAGAAAATCATACATTCAGAAAGAAACGGAGATGAGATACAGGAAGAGTTCAGATATAATTCCAATCTTTTTGTGGAATTTCCCTTAGGCCTGCTTTCACTCCTGCCCTGTAGCTCTAAAAAATAGTCCTACCTTATCATAAAATCTCCCCTCGCCCTTTTTTGCATAAGTAGCTTGATTCAATTTTAATTTTATCTTAAAATTAAGAATATTGACTTAAAATAGTGGATGATAGAGAAGGAGAATTCAGAGCTCTCCTGTATAGCTTTCAGCCTTAAGAAATGTATAGAGTTCCCCATAAAGTGAATCATTCAGTGCACAGCTCAAAGCTTCACACTTTGAAAAAATTTTGCTCTCTAGTTATTCAAGGCACCCTTAGTGATGCTATCATGCAGCTGCTTTCCATTTCCAACTGGAACCTGCTGATCCAGCCAACCTATTTATAAACCTATCCATAAAAGCTCAGGTTTTTTCCTCCTCCTTTAATTGTTCATACAAGAATGTCCATATAACCATTGGTGTGAGCTGAGAATGGTGTTCTACTGCAACCTTGGTAGGTGGCAAGGAAGTTTGGGTTACCTGGTCATGCAGCTTGCTTATGTCTTCGTTCATGCTTGGTGTCCCAGATGTACTATTTTCATCTTTAGATGGATTTGCTCTGTCGACCTGTATTACTTGGAATTTCTGACAGGACCCAACTTATAATGGGTGATTCCAAATATCTCAAAAAATTTAAGGATGGAAATATGTTTTTAAATACAATATTTAGACATTTATTAGTGACCTTCAAAGAATTCTTTCACTGAAAACTGAATGACAGGGTTAAGGGATGAGTGCAGGACTAGAACAAGTAGGAAGAACAGTTAAGTATTTGGTACTATTGTCTTAAGTGAGGTTGTTGTTTGAAAAAGTAATTAATTGGATTCAGGATTTCCAGAAATGAAAGAAGATAAGATCAGATAAGATCATACCTTATCTCACAAACATCTCAGACACTGGAAATAGCTCTCCATCTTGTCTTTTCTCATTATTTCCAGGTTTGTTTTTTACTTTCTTATAAGCGACAGATGTTTATCTTCTGAAACCTTAAATGATGCAGGTAGAACAGGATAGTGGGCATAGGGTGTGTCTATGTGGACTTTTTTCAGGTTTATTTGCTTGTTTCCCCAAGTCCCCTTACACAGAGTTCGAGTCAAATGATTATATCTTCACCAATTATATAAAGTTAAGAATTATCCC